GGGCCGGGCGGCCTGTCCCGGCCCTCCCTGAACCCCGCCTCCTCTCCCCTCCCCTCCCCCAGGTCTCGGCCGGCGCCAGCGGAGAGCTAGCCGCATCTTCGGGGGCGGCTGGGCAGCGGCCGGCAGCGTGGCGAGAGAGCGGCCGACAGAGGGGATGCGAGGTACCGGCATTAGCCGTGGCCAAGTGGCCCTAAAGAGGGAGTAGAGGCCGGGCCTTCGGCATTTCTCTCACTGGTTCTAGGAAGGCGGCCTCGGAGGAGAGGGAAGATGAGGGGCGGGCAGGCGGGCTTCGTGGGTAACTACTAGGCGTTGTATACGCGTATGTATGTTTTGGCATCTAAATGGTACTGCACACACAAATACACACATTCATTTCGACTGACTGTTGTTTAAAAATTTAACAGTATGTCATGTAGATCTTACTATACCAGGAAATCCAAATTGATGTCAGTTTTTAAACAGCTGCATTGAATGATTGTACTACAGTTTATTTAACCATTTCCCGATTGATGTACATTAGCTTGTTTCCCCGTTGGGGGAGGGGTCTTTTACAAGCAATACCATAATGAATGGGTTTGTGTATATGTATCATGCACACGTATGAGTATTTCTGTAGGAGAAATTCTTAGACGAATAATCGCTGGGTCAAAGTGTATATGCATTATGAATTTTGTTAGATTTGTCCAGATTGCCTTCCCAAAAGGCTATACTAATTTACACTCCCGAGTGTTGTGCAAGAGTGTCTATTTTTCCACAATTCTGGGGCCTGGTTACACCAACACGTATTATCAGTCTTTGTAGTTTTAGCCAATTTAAAGGGCAAAGAATTGTTTGTCATTGTTTTCATTTGCATGTCTCTGATTGCTGGTGAGATTGAACATATATTTACTTGACCGATTACAAAAGTAAATAGGTAAATATCAACAGTCTTCCTATCTACAAGCAATAAGCATTTTGAAAATTTAATACTAAGAAAACCTGTTCGCAATAGCAAAAAAATGAATAAAAATACCTAAAAGTAAACTATAAAACTTTATTGAGGAATATAATAAAATAACATTTGCGTAAAAAGAGGTGTACCTTGCTTCTGGTTAAGAAGGCTCAATTTTGTAGTGATATCCATTTTTCATAATTGGTTTATACAGTTGATGCAATTTCAATAAATATATCAAGTTTTTGGAACTTAATACAATTCTAAAGTTCATCCGAGCAAAAAAAAAAAAAGCTACGAATAGCCGAAAAATTATTTTCAAACATAAGTAAAAACAGGGTATTTGTACTGCTAGCTACTAAAATGTACTCTAAAGGAACAATATTTAAATTAGAATGAACAGAACAATGCACTAGAATGGAAAAGCCCACAAACCAAGCCGGATTGGATCCCAAGATTTATTAGAGAAACATTGTTGGCTAGACGTGGAAAAACTGCCATATTAAAAGCTTCAAGCATCCCCCCCACCCCCCCCCGCACCCCAGCTTGAATTTTCCTTTGAAGGCAGACTCCTTTGTTTGGAGAAAAGCACTTTTATTGGATCTTTTTGGCTATGCCAAGATAAAGCTTCAATAGTTAAAATTTGGTGGTTTTGGGGCTAGAACTAACGACATTAACCTTTAGTTAGACTAAGATGGATTCAGGTTAGCCTGCAGTGCGGCGAGGTAAGGAGTCTGGATACTATAGGTCTTTTAAATGTTTTTCCTATCTAATGGGCAAAAAATGTTATGTCATTGTTTTCATATGCATTTGCGTGCTTATCGTGAGATTGAATGTCTTTTATGTGTAAGTCCAGGATAATATGTTATTCCTGGAGGCAGATAACAATGGGGGACTCTTTGCTCCCCTTTCAGGATGGAGTTTGGCTAATTGGTACAGCCCTGCCCGGAAGCGTGAGAATAAACAGGTTGACTTTTTAAATTTTCCTCAAGCACTAGGCTCTAGACACCTAGATCGGGGGCGGAGGCAGTTTTCAGGACATGGCCGAGATTTGGCGCTGAGCTGTGTCATCGCGAGGTTTGGCAGCAAGCTCCGCAGTGGGTCGGAAACCTCGTGGTAGGCGAGATCCCTGCAGGACGGGTGGTTCCTCCCTTCCCCCGAAAAACTCCCAGTCATTTTCATGAGGCCCCGCCTATCTCCTTTTTAGGAGCGTGCACTAGGTCTCGCGAGATCTCGTGTTTCCTAAAGGCGAGGCGCGGGTGGCATCCTGCGGTGAATTTCGGAGTTCTCGCCGAGGCTGAAATGTAGTATCGCGATAGTTTTCAGCGCATGCGGGAGCCGGCGGCGGCACACTGGCTCCTCCCCCCGGTGCTTCGTGAGGTTGTGCGTCATTTGCTTTTCGCTTCGTGTAGGGTTGAGAGTGAATCTAGCGACTTCGGCTTTGGTGGGAGGAGGGGTCTGGGAAGGGTTGGGCTCAGGCTTTTTCCCGTCCGGTAGAGGTTCTCGCGGGATCGCGCGGAGGCGGCAGCTGTTCGGCTCCTGACTGCTGTAGCCGCGGAGGCGGCGGCTACGTTTTCGGCTTCTGCTGTTCTAAGTCGGTGAGTTCTCGCGGGAGCGGGGTTATGTCCTCGTGGGATCCGTTGGCGGTGGCGGAGGTAGCTCGGGGGTGGGGGGGCAGTGACTAGGGTCGGTCCGCCTGCTGTTAAGATGGCGGCGGAGGCTGATGTCTGTCCGGTCAGGACCCGGGGCTGAGGTGTTGGCTATCTGCGTTTGTGACGCCTCTCAGGTACCCGACGTTAGGAGGTGACGATTGGAGAAAGGCCGAGGTGCCGGCAAACCGGAGCTGGGACGAAGACCACCCCATTTCTAGTCAGTTGAGGCGACACCATTTCCCGGGCCTCAGCCGCGTGTGGGCCCTCCTTTGCCCCACTGATCGGTCAACGCCTCCGTTGTCGCCGTCGCAGTGGGCGGGCTGGGAAGGGTGGGAGGGGTGTCTGGAGTTCGTTGGGATGTGGGGTTGGGGGTTAGATTGGACGGTGGGGGAAAGGGGACCAACCAACGACGACTGGTCCCTTTCCCCCTACCTTTTACGCGGACCCGCCTCCGTTTTCAGTCCTTGCGACAACCTAGATGAACCCCCCTAGTTTTTCTTGAGTTGAGTGGGGTCTACTTCCCTAACTCCCACGATCTTTGAGCTAAGGCTTAGGGGTCAAGCTGTAGTGTCTCTGACGTACTCCTCCCACTTCTCTCCTAATTCTGTCGTCCCATCTAATTTTTCTCATCTGTGTGGATAGTTGAGGCTCGTATTTAAGGAAGAGAAGAGTCAAAGCTTTTTTCTTTCACCCCTTCCCCAGTCCTAATTTAGACCTTAGCCTGAGTTCCCTAGCTCGTCCGGTCTCCCTCTTCCATTGGTCCCCTTGGCGCAGGCGTTAAATAGAGCCTATTCTGTTCCCTGCGTTTACTCCATCTTTGTGGTTGGAGCCATAGTAGCCTTCCATTTCCTCAGGTCTTCACGTTTGTATATCCCTGATCGGGGCACACGGCACTGATTTCTTCAACTTTTCATGCTGCTAAACCACTCTTAGGCGAAACTGTGAATGTGTCGTTGGTCGGATCATTGCAGCCTTCGTGGCCTCTGTGCTGCTGTTAGCCTTCCCTTCCTCACCCCTCCATCCTCCGATGCAAAGGATAACCCTTCAGTAAACCAATTCTGTCCATCCCTCGCCCATTCCCCCTGCAAGCCTGGGGACTGTCCCTTTTCCCATCTTTCTTTGAGTTTCTATAGCCTCTTGGTCTGTAGACATATATTTGTGTGCTAACCACCTCTTACGTGCCTCTCACTTCTTAATCCTTCTGTCCCCCACCTCAGTGCTCTTTTTTCCAGGAACTGAATTCCCTAGAGGGGGGATAGGCCTCTGTCAGGCTCTACTACATTCTCTCCTCCACGTGCTAGAAAATAGCACTGATGTTCTGTTCCTCAATTATTGCACTGTTCTGCTTTATTTCCTTTTCCTCCAATGCCATTATTACTATAGGCAATTAATTCCCTATCATTGTTTTCTTTGTAGATTACATGTTCAGCATTGTTTTCTTTTAGCCTCAGTGTTGCGTAGATTGAGGAAATGCCAACATGCCCCAGTCATGGGAGGCAGCCTGGTTTGGTGGAAAGTGTGTGTACTTTGGGTTTACATCGAACTTTGTGACCTTGGGCAAATTACTTTTCAGATTATCGGTTTCTTTATATAATGGAGATAGTCATGCTTATATGAAAGGGTTGTTACTAGAATTAGTAAGAACATTTGTAAGTGCCTGGTTTGTGTTAGACATACAATAAATTATGATTACTTTTTTTTGGTTTAAGAATACATTGGTAGATGCGCCTGTGTCATATGCCAGTTTTATGACCTGGGAAAGAGTAAGAGTTTTTTTTTCTTTGTGAATTTTTTTGTATACTTCTAGGCCAGATCTATCATTTTTGTATTTTTTCCTCCTCATAGGCTAAGTTCTTATTTCCAATATTTCCTGATGTTTGAAAGTGATTCCCATTCTCTGTTTCCTTCTAATAGTATAGGAATTTCAGTGCAAAATCACTATCCTGAAAATGAACATCATCTGTAATGCTCCTGTCAAGAACTGCACCCAGGTGTTCCACCTTTTGGAAAGAGTGCCTTATCCCTTGCCTACTCGTTCCTTCCACTCCTTCAAAGGCTGTCCTGTCATTCACCCAACAAAAGTAGTGAAATTGGGTGATATTTTGCTAGCTAGTTTTCATGTTTGGTCCCTCGGATCAGCAGGGGGGATCTGCTATTTGGCATCTTTTTACCTGAGCAGGATAATTTTTGAGTTCGAAAGATGGTTTGGAGTACCAAGCTTTTCCAAAGTGAATTGCTGCCAGTTGTTTAATAAACTACCTTGCCATTTTATATTTTCTAACATACTTAGTAGAAGTGATTATATTTGGCTTGGAGATAGTTTTTTTTGGTTTTTTGTTTTTGTTTTTTTTTTTTTAGTGTCCAGATTTTGATTAGATCAGTCTTAAAGTGAATGTTCTTTTTCTAATCACCTTGTCTAGATAATGGGGGTTGAAGTAGGAATATGATGGTGAAAAGTTTACTAGACTTGAAAATTAACAATGGGTAGCCATTTGATAATTAACTATATATGGACTCTAGTTTTGAGCTTTTGGGTTTGCTTTATTAGTTGAAGTGCTTTGGCAGTAATAGAATCTCCCCCATTTTCATTGGAGGACAGAAGAACACTTTCTGTTTTGAGATTTTGCTTTGGTACGTTTTATAATGGATTAAACGTTGTCACAGATTAACTAAACCTCAGTTTGACTCCTGTCATTCAGCACTAGAATAAATCTGGGAATAATAATCTAGGTGTGACCTAAAAGTTTAACTTATTCTTGGTAGATCTCTGAGAAGAGACAAAGGAGTGGCAATACCAAATAAAAACTTTGTCTAAGGTTCAGTGGCAAAGTTCAACCTGAGTTTCCAGAGTGTTTATCATTTGTCTCCCAGTATGGCCAAAAAGCATGTGTGAAGGTGAAGAATAATTTTGATTTGTATAATTTTTTTCACAAAAATAATGAGGGGTGGCTCACACCTGTTATCTCAGCACTTTGAGAGGCTGAGCTGAGAGGATCACTTGAGCCCAGGAGTTTGAGACCAGTTTGGGCAACAAAGTAAGACCCCCCCTCTCTACCAAAAAAATAAGTGAGAATATAAAATTGTCTGTAAAATAAGCACTATATTCTATTAATTTATGTGGTTTGAGAACTCAGTTGCTTTCAACGTCTAAGTGTTAAAATTATTGTTATAACTGTTGGTTTTGAATTCTTCAGTTTCTTCTCAAAGCAGCTCCTAAAATATGCAGATTGGTATGTGAGGGCTACTGCTTTAGAAATAACTGATTATGTTTGGATGTTGATAGAATGGTTAAGCCCCATACTCTAATAAATGTGTATCTCACTCCCCCTTCCCCCCCCACCTTTTTTTTTGTAGGTCCTCAAGTAGCCTGACCTGAGTGGGTTATTGATCCAGAGCAACCAGCAGACCAATTTGGTCAGGAAGGTTCAGGAAGCTGTTGGAGCAGTGTTGGGATTTCCCACCAGGATGAGTATGATTGGCTGTGATTTTAGGTTAGTTTTTGTGGATCTTTGTGAGAAGTATTTGTATTTTACTTCCTGGAATGGAGATAGTGGAGTATATGTAATTCCATTCTATGAGGTACTTTGGTTTCTTCCATTGTATGGATCTTCTTTCATTTAAGTGGAGCTCATTACTGAATTAAAGAGAACTGTTTAAATGGATGCTATCTGTATATGAGTTTTAAAATCTAAGCATTGTTCAAAAAGTAAAATTGCAAGATAATATGTCTAACCACTTTTAAAGAGTTGTGAACAACTTCAGACATGCAAAAATTGAATAGTATAATGATCCCTTCCGTGTATGTACATCACCAGCTTTATCAGTATCAACTTGCAGCCATTTTATTTCATCTGTAGTTCTACCCATTGCTTCCCCCTCCTGCGGTGGATTTTTAAAATAAATTCCTATTGCCAATTTTTTTATTGGTAAAATATCTCTGAAAGGCAAAGGCACTTTATATAACCTCAATACCATTATCACAGCTGAAAAAATTTATTTATTTTTAGAAATACCAGATATAAAACTGGTGTTTAAATTTCTCTGATTTTTTTTTCAGTTTTGTTTTGGTTTTTGTTTTTGTTTTTGCAGTTTGTTTGAATCAGGACCAAAAAAAATCCATTCATTGCAAAGGGTTGGTATATGGCTCTTAAATCTGTTGTAATATGCAGGTTCTGTCTCCTTCGGTTTTTTTTCTTCCAATTTGTTCATCGAAATTGTCCTATATGGTTTCCCCCATATTTGGGGATTATAGCCAGTAGTGGTATCTAAACCATTCTTGCTAAATTAGAGACCCTAGAGGACCCATTATAATGGAACAATGGCTGTAATCTCTTGTATCCCAGTTGGAGTTGATACTGCTGGCCTAGGCACTATCCTAAAATAACTAGTCATGGATTCCTTTTTCTGTGACAAAATCTGATTTGCTACCTGACTTCAGTTCCATGTCTTGGCCTTGCTTACTGCTTCACATGAAAAGTAGGCCTCCTGGTGGAAGAAGCCAATGTTTCCTAAATAATGACCTGATTGTGCCTTTGGGATTTTTCATGCATGGTTTCAATTTCCTGAGGTGATTTAGTTATTTTTATACTATCTTATAATGTTGCTTTTTATTCTTTTGATGTTGGTGTCTCAGCTGCTCTGATCCATGACTTCTAAGCTATTAAGATATAGTAATGAGTTCCTCTGACTGTCATACAGTTCTTGAAATGGCATTACTAAAACAGTTTTTCAGCATTTACACTTACATCCTGATTTTCAGCTATTATACACAATTTTCCTATTGTTATTTTTTGTTTTGTTTCATCTGGAAATGACGTTTCCCCCAGCATAAAGTCCTTTAAACTGTTCTTTCCTTGTGCACTATTGGCCATTTAGGGATCTGGTCTATATCCCTTCCACAGTCAAAAACCTGAGAACAGAAGTTGAACACTTGGGCTCCAGCCAACCTTTTACTTAGGCACAAGTGGGAGCAGAGCAAGGCTATACTTGTGCCTACCTTTAAGATAAGACTAATTTCAACTTGGAGGCCATCATGAATGAAAATTTTGGGGGTATTTGGATGAAATATGATTGTGAATCACCAGTGCTGGATCATAAGTTCAGGCCTTTCAATTCTCTGTTTATTGATGGATAAATAAATCATGAGTTGAAAATTGACTAAACATTAAAGAAGTGGTTTCTTGGGAATTGCAGTAAGTTCATGAATTCCACAAAAGTAATTTGGGGCACATTGGATTTAGTGAGTATAGATACTTTATCTCTGAGTTTTCTATTGCTAGGAAGTTTGAACAAGATCACTTAAACCTAATTCTGAGTTTGTAAAACTACGATAATTATAGATTATTGGTGTAGAACTTTGTACACAGTAGGCACTCCCAAGACTTGAATTTTTCCCACAACTATTAACAACGGCAAGTTCACAATGGAAATGCTGCTGCCATTGGTTTTTTCCTTCTGTTGTGTGTTTGCAATCATGAGTTCAAGGCATTATTGAAATGCCTAGCTTGGTTACTTTGAAAATATTTTCCCTTGACATTCCATGTTACCTTTCCTGCAGTAAGATTAAGTTGTTGAAATCTGTTATTAGCTGTAACCATATTAGGCTGCTTTACGATGATCTCACTATAAGGTAGATAGTCACAGACACTTGGACTCTTGATGTTTTGCTGTATTCCCTGACTTAATGACTGGCTACCAGATGTTTATATATGTTAATATAAGGAATAATTCAGCTCTTGAGAGTCTTTGGAAGCCCTCTTGTTTGATGTGTCATAGGGGTTTAGTTGCTTAAACTTGGTGTACTTGTTGACCAGTTTGGTATTCTGGTTGTAGAAATGCTTTCAGCTAGTTGAAGGAGAGGCTCTCTATGAGTAAAACAACTAGGTTTTGATTAGGCTGTTAACCTGAGCATTTTCAACTTTTAAGTTATCTTAAAAAGTTTTTAGTCATTTGGCCTTAAAAAAATTGCAGTTGACATAGATTTATCTCTGTGATTTTTCTTTTTTTACAGAAAGTTGGAATTTTCAAAAATTTATTATGTATCATTACATGGAGATTGGAATTATAGATCTGATTCCGTCTGGATTGCTGATTGAACTAGATGAATATTAAAATTCTTCAACTTCAGGATTCTGGTTGTATAGTCTTGGGTATTGAAAGAAAGCAGTTTTTCCTTTTCAGTGGTCATTAGCTAGTGACGGGACTAAGAGTAGGGAGATAAATTATTCTGGAATGACCTTTTACTACAGTCATTTAGATTTAGAAGGTTGGTGAGTCTGAACATAGTGTCATGAATTTCTTTAGCACAGCCCAGGTTTTAAGTCCTTGTAATTAGATACTAGAGATAATTGCTCTAGAAATGCTTGGATATATTGCATTTGGTGGCTGCTTATTTTTTGGAACAATTTTGGAAGATTGCTTTAATGGGTACATTATTTGTTTTAATTATTTTATTTGCCTGTTTTATAATGAGGCATACTTCTGGTTTTTTCCTTTTTTTTAACTTTCATTATCCTTTAATACTGCTTTCTGCCAGTTGGGTTCTTAGAGGTGGAAAGACCTTTCAGCACAGTGATCAGGAACATGAACTCTGGTTTGGCCGAGTCCGGTGGCTCATGCCTGTAATCACAGTACTTGGAGAGGCCAATACAGAAATTGCTTGAGGCCAGGTGTTTGAGACCAGCCTGGGCAACAGAGGGAGACCCAGTCTACAAAAAAATAATGCTGTAAAATTAGCCAGGCGTGGTGGCACATACCTGTAGTTCCAACTGCTTAGGAGGTAGAGGTGGGGAAGAGCTCTTGGCCCTGGAGTTTGAGGCTGCAGTGACCTATGATTATGGACTCTGAAACTAGACTCACTGGGTTCAAGTTCTGACTCCCATTTCTTACCAGCTGTGTCATGTTGTGCAAATAATTTAACCTCTTCGTGTCACAATTCTTTATCTGTAAATAGTGATAACGTTACCTACTTCATAGAGTTTTGGAGAAGTTTGAGTTAATGCATGAAACTTTAGGGAACATCAGCATTACCTAAAGGGCTTGCTAAAACAGATTGCTGGGCCCCACCTACAGAGTTTCTGATTCCGTAGGTCTGAGAGGGGGGCCCAGATTTTGCATTTTCCCGCGAATTGGCAGCTGGGTCCAGAGGTTTGATAAATTTTAGGTTCATTCCTTTTGGTAGGAGTGTGTTCATTCACAGCATTATGTTATGATGTCTTGAATTTTTTTGATCTGCTAATTGATTGGGGGCTGCAAAATGGTGATACTCTAATGTCATTTTGTTTTCATTATCCATTAGCTGGGATAATTTTTTTGTTTCCCCCTCATCTTTTATTTGGTTACTCAGTTGTATGGTTTATATAGGAAGGGCAGAATACTCCTTTTTTTCTTTTTTTTTTAAACACAGCTTTCAAGATAATGAATTGGTTCCTGGTCATTCTCAAAAGGTTACACGCGCGCACACACACACACATGCGCACACACGTCTGTGTGTATATGTATGTACTATGGTCATAAAAATGTGATGGGTCTTAATAACATTGCAGTTCTGGCCCTTAGTGAGGTTCACATTGTTCTAGTTTTGGCTAGTGGGACTTTCTTAAAGTTGGCTCCTGATTCTTCTGGACATGATCTCTCATCTTTGATCGCTTCCTTGCTGCCTGGTATGTCAAGATGTTCCAGGCTCATTCATCAGCATTTCTGCCCCAGACCTGTAATCAGCTAATGATAAAAGATGAAGTCAAAAGAAATTCCTTCTTTGCAGTGAGTAGCTTTGAGCTGTCTACTCAGTCCCACCTTTCTCTGTCCTCTTAACCTCCCCAGACTGCCTCTTTGTTCTTCCCTACTTTTTTTTTAAATTAGAATTTAGGCAGTTCTGGGTTTTGAGACTGGCCACTTACTAGTTCTATCGGTTTGAGCAAGTGAACCTATGAGTTATCTCATCTGGGGAAATATCATTTGTATGGTTATTAGAATTAAATGAGAAAATGTAAGGTGTTAGTACTCTGTATAGGTGATCAGTAGATAGTAACTTATTTAATGTATTATTTCGCTTAACCCCTCCAACAGTTCACACTTGGGCAGTCGGGATGGCGAAGTGATGGCCAGTTAGCAAAATGTTTCTGGACCCTTTGTATCTGTGTAGGATCATCAGCAGTTGGGAGGGATGGGGTTTGTTCTTTGGTTATTTGGGGTCTGAGACTTTGGCCAGTGATAACTGAGTGTTAAGCCACCAGAGTAGTTTTCACTTTGTAGCTCCTTAGGAGCCACATTCAGTACTCTCTGAAGGGTCTTACCAGTTCTGTGACAATGTGTATTACATTAGTTACCTTGATCTCATCTACACAACTCCCTACTGTTCAAGATTCTTCTTTTCAAGGTTCTGCTGTAACCTTAGTAACCCATAATGCATCTTCCTGATAGTCATCAGTGTCAGCACTATTAACACACTTGAGTAGCACCGTATATAACAGGTTAGAAAAGGGGTAAATAA